ATGTATTCGTATGTATTAACTTTATGTAATATATCCATATAGCTATGTATATACTAATAATACATTAAATAATATATGACAATTATGTATTAATAACACAAGTATATGTTAATATATAAAACTAATATATACTAATATATAAGACAAGTATATATTAATATGTAAGACAAGCGCATATTATAAGACAAGTATATGTTAATATATAAGACAAATATATACTAATATATAAGACAAGTATATGTTAATATTTGAGACAAGTATTATTAATATATATGAAAAGTATATATACTGATACATAAAAGTATATGTGTAAATATATAAAACAAGTATAGAGTAATATTTAAGACAAATATGTTAATATATGACAAGTATGTATACTAACATATAAGACAAGTATATTTTAATATTTAAGACAAGAATATACACAAATATATAAGACAAGTAAATATATTTATGTATAAGACATGTATATACTAATATATAAGACAAGTTTATATTAATATTTAAGATAAGTATATATAAGGCATATATTAATACACAACAAGTATATATTAACATATAAGACAAACATATATAGATTGCGTGAATATACTCTTTCATTCTCTGTACTTCCAGCCCAGTGCTTGGCATACAGTAGACACTTGCTGAATGCTTGATTGATTGGTAGATCTAGAAGTGTAAGAAGCCTGAGAGGCCTCCTAATCTTCCCCTTCATTTATAGATAAGGAAGCGCAGGGACTCACCAAGTCCCACAGAGGCAGGATTAGAATTCAGATCCTCCTCCAAAACCACTCTTTCCCATTATATCATGCTGCCTCCTGATTTATTCATCTGATAGAAGGGGAAACTGAGGCTCACGGAGCTGAAGACAGGCCTTGAATCCAAGCCTCCTGACCTGAAATCCTAACCTTGGGACCGGAAGGTTGGGGTAAGGGTAATCTCCCTCAGGACCATCGTGGTGAGCCTTTCCGTCACTGGAGGGACAGACAATGAAGAGGACTTTTGAGAGGCAACATGGATTCAGATTCCACCTCCAACCCTTACCGGCTGTGTTTGTTTTGCTAGGCAATGGGGTTAAGTGACTTGCCCAGGGTCACACAGCTAGTAAGTGTCAAGAGTCTGAGGCCAAATTTGAACTCAGGTCCTCCCGACTCCAAGGCCAGCGCTCTATCCGTTGCGCCACCTAGCCACCCAACCCTTACTGGCTGTGACCCTGGGCAAGTCACCTAGCATCTCCGGGCCTCAGTTTTCTCACCCGTAAAATGGACTCTAATTCCCTTCCAATTCTAAAATGAGCCTGCGATCAGTGCTCTTGGGGCCTTGGACCCAGGCAATCCTCCACTCCTATTTATCATCTGAATGGCTTGTACTTGGGGAAATAAATACTAATTAACCAGGCCAAGGTTTCCCATTAGTGAATATCAATTTCCCGTCCCTGCCCAGAGGCTCATTTGGCATGTCACTGGCTGGTTCTGAGCTGACGAACAAGCCACCAGGGCCAGGGAGACGGGAAATTAAAGTTGCCTTTGGTTGGACCGGAGCTGCAGACAGGAAGTAACCATGTCCATGAAGGGGGGCTGGGAAGGATCAGGACGGGGCTGGGGGTCACAAGGACGCAGGAACACTGTGGCGGGGAGAGAGGGCTGAAGAAACAGGAAACAGAGAGAGAAGAGAGAGAGAAGGGGGCATCTCTGGGCAGGGCGAAAATGAGAGCCCCAGGTCTAAAGTCAATCCCCTGGTTCAAGTGTCTGCTCAGCTGCTGGGCCTCTGCCACCTCAGTTTCCTCATCTGCAAAATGGTCTGGAAATTGGGCGGGGAAGGATGGGCAAGACAGTCTAAGCCCCCTCCCCTACTACAGACTGGTGGGCAGAAACAGGGTGGGAAAACCCAGCTCTGGAGCCTCTTTGAATTCTGAGTCTAAGGTGCCAGCTGTATGGCCAAGGCCAAGTCCACTAGCAGGGCCTCAGTTTCCTTCCATGTAAAAAGGAGGGGGGAGGGTTGGATCAGACAGCAGCTGGGTGGCATAGTGGACAGAGAGTTGGACTTGAGAGTCGGGGAGACCTGAGGACACGTACCTTCACATAGCATGGCAGCCTGTTTCCTCTTCTATAAAATGGGTATGATAACAGCAGCCCCTTGGCAGGGTTGTTGTGAGGATCCAGTAATATAATACATGTAAAGCATTCGGAAAGCCTGAAAATGCTGTGTAAATGGAAGCTATTATGATGATGATCACATCAGTGCTCACTCAGTTCTAGGCTTCTAGCAGGCCCAGAATCAGAGACAAGAGAAGCAGACCTCTCCCTGCCTGGGGCTGGGCCAGCACTTCCTGTGCCCAGCGTCCGCTCAGGACCCTGCTGAAGTGAGACCCCCACGTATACTCGCACAGCAACTATAAACTGACATTTTTTAAATGACGTGGGATCTGGACGGGTGGCCCTCTGACATCAGCTGGATCAATCTGAAAGCTGGCGGGCACTGGTCAGGGGCTCAGACTAGCGGCTCCCTCACCTGATGGATCTTGGCAAGTGCCTCCCCCTCCCCGGGCCTGGTAAAAAGGAAAAGGCCGGGCTGGATCCCTATGATCTTATGTTTCTGTAAATCCGGGGGTGGGGGCAATGATCTGGAGATGGGAAATTAAGGGACAAAGAAAGGGGTCCGAGGAGTGGGCTATATCAAGAATAAAGCCCTGCCTAATTCAGAATATCTGGGGCTTTAGACCCCCACGGACTTGTGAGGTATCTAAACGCCTCCATGATGGGGGATGCACTGTTATCACCGAGGTCCTTCCCAGCATGCAGTCCTCACATCCCCTGTTCTAAGGCCCCTCCCAGCCTCTATACTCCATGTTCCACGGTACCCCCCAGCTCTGTCATTCCATTTCTAAGGCTCCTCCAGCTCTAGGAGGCAATTGGAGGGTATGATCCGAGGTCTCTGGGTTTCTCAGACTGGCCTAGAGGGTGTGCTGCTGCTGCTGCTGCTGCTAGCGTCTCTGGCCAGTTTGGAGGCTGCCCTCAGGCATTTCTAGTTCAAACCACTTTTCTACCCTCCCACCTCCAACCCATCCCTACATTTGGATTTCAACAGTTGCCTCCTCAATTGAGGGAAAATTGGGAAACATTCATTGGCATCATCCAGGTTGTTTTCCCAGTGTTCTTGGCCTGGGATTCGAAGCATTTTTAGCTGGTGTGAAAACGTTGGTGCTCGTAGACTCTTAGAAGTGGGGTGATGGCTCCTGGTTTTTATAGATGAGGCTGTGACTTGCCCAAGGTCACCAAACATGGAGTCGACAGACCGAGAGGTGCTTCTCACTGCTGGGCAGTGCAGCTGGGGGCCGGATCCCTAACTCTACCTAATCATGCCTGGAGATGTTCACCTTAGCTAGTCTGCCCTTCCCTCCCCCTTCGAGACTCAACTAGATTCCCACCTCTTGGAGAAAGCCTTCCCTCAGGGACCTCCTCCAGCAAGACCCTCTTCTCCCTGGGCCTCGGTTTCTTATCCTTAAGGCGGCTTTGGACTCAATGGCCAGTCTGAGGCTCCCCGAAGGTCTGGAGCTCCCGGATCTCACTCCCTGAGGAACTTCCATTTCCATCTAGTCCCACAGACATTGAAAACACCCGCCGTGTGGGGCCTCCCGGCCTGGGCCAGCCACAGAGCACGCCCCAATGAGAAATCAACACAGCTTTTGCACAAAGAGTCTGCATTTTAATAAGAGTGAACCCAACACATACACAAGCAGGAACAGAAAGAAGACCTGGGCAAAGGAAAGACTGACACTGGAGGCGGCAGTCACTTAACATTTTTGGCTGGAAGGGACGTCTGTGTGCACATCAGGGAAGGCTTCTGGGAAGCTGTGGACTCGGGCATAGGAATAAGGAGGCCTAGTGAGGTGGCTGTCCCTGCCACCACGAATCCCTCATCTTACACCATGAGATTTCGCATCATGGCTTGTACACATGGCTCACCGCCCCCAGAAAAGGCAGTGTGGCCCAAGGAGGAAGCTTGCTGTCCTGAGAGCCGGGAGCTGGCATTAGACCTGGCTCTGGCACTAACGGTCAGGCGCAGCCGCCAGTCCTGACCTTCGCTGTATCCTCCTAAAAAACGAGGAGGCCGGACTCTGATCTCTTAAGTCTGTCCCAGTACAGAAGCCCCCAGGGGCCTTGGCCTTCCCCCTGGGGTCTGACTTCTGGCTCAGGCATCCCCTGGGGAGGGGGAGCCAGCCCTCCCCACCAAGCACTGGCAAAGCATCAGGGCACCCTGGGAGAGACAGGAGGCAGCAAAGGCCAGACGACCACCCCCACCACCCTGACCATCCCCTCTCAGACCCTGATGAAGACGGCCCAAGAGGCGTGAGAAACGCCATGCTACCGGCCCAAGCCCCTCCACCGGCATCCTGAGAAGTTGCCCCTGGGAAGATGCAGCCTGGGGGCAGCTCCTTCCTGCAGGGGCTGCAGCCACAGCTCTGGAAGACCCAGGAAGGAGGGTTCTCATCGGCCCTGAACAACAGCCCAATGTTAGAAAACGACTTATCAGTGAAAATGGCATGAAGAGGCCTGACCATCTGCTTTGCCCCTACACCCTAAGGACCCTGAGACCTCCCCTCTGGGGCGTCTCCCCCAGCAGAAGGTGAGCTCCCCGAGGGAAGGGCTGTCTGGCTTTTCATCTGCATGCCAGCACTTAGCAGCGCTGCACACATCAGAGCTTCACAGATGTTCCCTTCATTTCTGCCAAGGTCGCTGACACTTCCTGGGAAAGAGGGAGAGGGGAGGTGAAAGTGCCCAATATTCTGGGAGATTCCTCTCAGCTCAGCTGTCCTAGGGTCTTTTCACTGCTCCAATTCTGCAGCCTGTGGTGGAACCGACGGGAGGCGGGGGGTGGGGTTCCCCTCATGTCCCACTGACATGTGGAGTCAGCAAGGCAGGCAGCCACCTTAGGGGGCAGTGAGGGACAGTCACCATTGACTTTTGACAAATCCACATACATTAAACTCGAAATTCCACTCTCCCTAACACACAGCAATTTATTTTCTGGGTCAACTTGTCCATATTACAGTGAAGGCTTAAAGGCAGCATCCTTTTTGGGGGAAACCTTCCCCGGACCTTCTCCACCCTCTCGGCTCTCCCCACTGTGTCTGACCCTCATTAGGAACTAGTAAGTGGCTTGTGACCGTGGCTTTAAGGGACATCTCCATCCCCCACAGAGCGGGGGGCACACCTGCCACACCTACTCAGGTAAGGGGAGACAGAGAAGACCCAGCCTGAAGGGGCGTATTCACCTACAGGAATTCCTCGGGGGGGGATCTCCAGGTTCCCAAGAAAGACTAAGGGGAGGACAGCCCCTGAAGAAGCCTCCCGGCCCTGCACCAGGGCGGGGGGGACGACACCTCAGAAAGAAGGTCCCGCCTCCGTGGACTCAGAGGGGCCCAGAATAGCGGCCACACCACAGTGGGAGCTAGCGAGAGGGAAGAGCTGTCTCCTCAGCGCCCCAATCTCTCTGCCAGCCACGTGCGTGGACCCTGCCCAGGGTGTGGGGGTCTCACCGGGCTCCTCCCTGGGCTCTACACACCTCACACACAGCACAGGGGACGGGTGCGAAGGGCTCTGGACTCAAGGGTTGGGACATTTGGGCTGAGTCTCACCGTGTGACCCTGGGCAGGTCACCTCCTCTCTCTAGGACGATTTCATTGTCCTGCTCTGCCCCCTCCCTGGGCTGGCCTGAGGTGAGGACATGGTGCACACTTTAAGGCAAGGTGGCTCTGGCTCTGGCCTTCAGTGCTCAGATAATAAATGACAGAATGGAGGCTTTACTGACTTCCCTGCTTAGGGCCCGGGCTCCATCTCAGGCAATGGGAACCGGGTCTCGGGGAGGAGGGGCCTAGAAGCCCACCCTGGCCCCCCAGACAGCTCCACCCCCCTGATCCCTTTAAAAGTGCTGGCCACATGCCCAGAGGGTAGGTGAGGCCGCTAGGAGAGTGGGAAGAAGGCTGGCCCCCACCTGCCCTGGGCCCCTGAGACCCCAGGAGCTGCCGGCCAAGCCCCTGGCAGAGGGAGAGCAAGCTCCCGCCATCTCCTTGGCCAATTCCCTCTTGCCTCGGCTCTCCAGGCTGCAATCCATCACCTTGGGTTTTGTTCTCCCCTCCGGGAGGCCTCTCAGGGCCCTGCCCTCCCCATGGGCTCAGCCCCACCAGCCACCAGCCACAGGGTGGAGGGAGAAAGATAAAAGAGGGAACCAGAGCCTGCAGGCAAGAACAGTCTGTTTTCCCAGAGTGGTCAGGGACGCAGTGAGGAGGGGAGAGGCAGCGCCACCCCAGAAGGGAGGCAGTTTCTCACGGGGCCTCCCCTCCAAGGCTCTAGCCCTGCCCATGAGACGAGGCAGGAGAAGGGTCCTGCCACCAGCCAAGAACCAACACTTCAATGACGAGGCTTCCGCTCTATGCTTTGGTTCAAAGCCGTTGCCCCTCAACAGACTGCAGCCTCACAAATGCCCAGCCCCACCCAGAACCTCCCATCTCAGAAGAAAATCCTCACTCAGCTCACCACGCTCCATCACTGAGGTGTCAAGGCTGAGATTTAAGCGCTGGTGAAAGGTGCGATGTCTACCTCCAGAACCCCTGGCCTCCCCCAAAAGAACTCAGGAAAGGGGCTCCTCCCCACCCCCACCCCCTTCTCTGCTCACAGGAGCAAGCCTCAAAGAGACTTTGAATCTTTGCTAGTGAAAAGCATATGAGAGAGAATGGGGAAGGGGTCAGGCCCAGCTGCTCCCATTTGTGTCCAGGAAAGCAGAGGGACTCCTGAGCGAGGTCAACAGCATCAGCCCAGCCGGGCTTCCTGGGGGCGGAGGGAACGGTGTCGGGATTCTGGTGATGGAGGCCAAAAGAGGAGGCTCTGAGAACTGGGGCCCCTCGGGCACCAGCAGTGGGGATCCAGGGAAGAGTAGCAGGACAGGCTGGTGTCTCCCCTCTTCCTGAGATGAGGATGATGGGAGCTGGGCAAAGGTCTTGGAGGGGACGGGAGGGTCCTCTCTCTGGGGCTACCTCTTCTCCAGCTTCTGCATCTGCAGGCTGAGCGACGTGAAACTGGCCAGGAGGTCTGTCACCTCGTCCACCTGTCAGAACCAAAGCAAACCTCTCTAAGCCTCAGGGTCCTCATCCGTAAAATGGGAAGAACTCTACTTGCTCTCCCTCTATCAAAAAGCTGGGGAGAAAAATCACAAGAGAGCAGATGTGAACACACTCCTGTTGTGAAGGGCCAGACTGGACGAGCACACCTTCCCTACAGCCCTCCAGGCCCAAGATCCAGGCATCCTTCTCCTCGCCTGGCCCAGAAGCAGGAGGCATTCCCCTCTTCCCACCCCTACCCCGAACCCTAATTCTGAGCTCCTGACGGGGCATAGCACGCGCCTAGAACAAGCCAGCACTCAGCAGGCTTCAGCCAGTGCTGAAGGCAGGACCACTAACCCGACTTTCCGCACTGACTGGGTCCCCATCAGCTATAGCTGACTCAGCTCCTCCCCAGCTCCTCCAGAGAGAAGTCACCTGTGGGGCCCTTCACCAAGGAAGAGAGGGAGGCCTCTGCAGCCTCTGAGCAGCAGGTCTTCCCACAGACCCCGGGGCCTCTCCCCCCTCCCACCAGCTGGTCAGGAGAGCTCTCTGCGGGCAGCTCGGACCTCTGTGGGCCTTGCCCATCTCAGGACACGCAGCAGCCCATTCAAGAGCTCCTCCATTTCTCTAGAAACGGGAATATGTCTCCAGCCCACAACCCTTTGCAGACCTTTCCCAGTGGGAAGAGGCCTCAGGGCCAAGAACAAAAGGCCTTTCTTAGGGAAGTGGACAAAGGTCCCTGTGGCCTGTGACCACCTGGGCCATCTTTCTTATTCAGAAAGGATCAGGGCAGCAGGGAAGGAGCTGAGTGCTTAAGTGACCACTGTTCTAATCCTTGGAAAAGACACTTAACCCCAACTGTATTTGAACAGAGCACACTCTTTCCCTGGTTCAGGACCCCCACAGATGTTGGCAAGGCTGCGGGAGGGCGCTGGCTGCAGCGGGAAGGTCAGTAAAGGCAGCCCCTCCGGACGCTGGCCCTCACCTGCTCTTTGGTGCTCGTCATCTGCAGGCGGGTGCAAAGGTCATCCAGCCGATCCCGCTGCTCGTGCTGCCCCAGCCGCTCCAAGTACTCCCTGAGCATCTGTATGATCTACAGGGACGGGGGAAGAGGGTGCGCAGGTGAGGCTGCAGAGCCTTGACAAGTCTGCCAAGTACAGAAGGAAAGGCTGCAGCCACCAAGTGACCGGGTGAGAGACCGAGCATTTGGCTTCGATTTAAGACTCACAAAGCGCTTTACAAACAGGCTCCTCGGAAGCAGGGGCTGCTATTACCCCCATTTTCTAGTGGGGGAAACTGAGGCAGAGGTGAAGGGACTGGCCCAGTCAGTATCTGAACTGGATTTGAACTCAGGTCTCTTGACTCCAGGCCCTTCGCTTTGTGCCCTATGATTCCAAATAGGGCGACCACCTTCATTCTTTAGATCACGGTTTGTTTCAAGGAACTTGCTTTTTGACACCATAAAAGCATCGAGGTTAAACTGGGCTGCGACTGTCATTCTCATGGCCCAAGGGACCTGCCACAGAAGGCTGCGATCTGCAGCAGGAAAGGTGTGCCCCTAGTGAGATCACACCCCAGGAAGGAGCAGGGAGGTCTCTAAGACCAAGCAGCGGCACAGAGGAACCAAGAGAGGCTCACAGGTCCCTCCTGCCAACAAGATGGCCCCTGCCTCACCCCCATTAAGAGCTGGGGGCCCAGGGCCACCAGGGGGCGCCACAGGCCTGGAGTCAGGGATCCTGCGTCCCTGGGCTAGGCAGGGGACTGAGGACAGCCCGCGGCTCCCAGGGTCAGTGAGGATCACGACATCCCGTGTGGAGCGCGCTCAGCAAGATGCCTGGCACACGGTAGGCATCACGGTTACCCGCGGGCCAAGCCTGCCCTCGGTTTTCTCATCCGGGGTGCTGTGAGGTGTCCTCGGCCCGGGTGGCCGGGTCTGGAGCCCAGAAGGCCGCGTTCTCCTCCCCGTCCTGCTACCCTCCTCCTGGGCTCCGGAGAGGCCGCTCGGGCTGACCGAGGGTGTCAATCATTCCTCATCCAAGAGGAGACCCCTGCCCTAGGACGGGCACTTCCCCCACACACCCCCTCCCTGTTTACTGTGTGCTGACTCCTCGGTCACCTCTGGGCGGTGACCCTCCTCCCAAGTCTCCAAGCCAGGCTTCTCCCTTCAGTGACGTGTGAGAACGTGCCTCTGCCGTGTATCCTGTGAACCCTCTGGTTTAGCCTCTGACCCTCCCTCGGTACGCTGCTGGCTCCCAGCAGCAGCAGCCCCGGGTTCTCCCATAACGCTCATCACCTCCACAAGCCTTATACTCTCAGCTCCAGGCCAGCCCTAAGCCGGGAGCCCACAGCGTGGGACGACGGCCTCCCTCACCTGTTTCACCTCCACCCGGACGGCTTCCAAGCACTGGGAGTGCCCCTCCTGTAGAATATTCAGCTTTGACTTGGCAAGGTGCAAGGGGGTCCTGCCAGCCCGGTCCAGGGCATCCACCCGGGCCCCTGGGGAAGAAGGAAGGGAAGAGGGTAGAAGAGAGAAACAGGGATGGGGGGGTGTGGTTGGTGGAAGGCAGGGAGGAGGAGTTAAGGAAGCTTGACAACCCCTTACCTCCACGGAGCAGCGTGGTGATGACGGGAACGTGGTTGGTGCAGGCAGCTGTCGGGGGAGAAGTGGGACACATCAGGAAAGCACCAAATAAAAGGGCCTGGGTGTTATGGTGGGAGGGTCCTCACCTTTGTGGGTATGTGAGCCCGAGACCCCACTGCCCACAGGCACCAGGCCTCTGGTCACCCTACAAAGCCACGCCCATTCAGAAACTAAACAATTAATGATCAGCGCAAAGTCAGTGGCACCAGATGCGGAACCCTCTTTGCACCAGGGTGGTTCAGTGGCTCGAGCTGGGGATGGGGGAGGGAATTCCCCTCCTCTCTCAACACCAGACGCTGAGTCTGAAGGTCGAGGGAGCCCAGACACCACCAAGAGAGTGCTCGGCAGCCAGGATGAGGGCAGACACGGCAGCCTCTCAGAGCCACGGAACCACAGAAGGTCAGCCCCGCCTCCCACTCGAGGGTGTTGGCACCTACCCAGATGCAGAGCCGTGTTCCCCAGCCCGTCTCTCTGGTTGGGATCAGCACCATGGTCCAGGAGCAGCTGCACTGAAAAGTCAATGCCCCCAAAAAGGCTCCAGGAGCTGAGCCCCTCCGGCCCTGCCCTCCCCTCCTCCCCCTTCCAGAGCAGCAGAGGGGTACGTCGGAGCTGCTGGATCTGAGTTCTAACCCCAGCTCTGGGGCCTTCAAAAAGGCACCTCCCCTCTCTCTGAGGGGGAGTAAAAGTAAAAGAGGGGCCTGAACCCCCAGAGATGGCCTCTGAGGTCTCTCGCTGCTCAGTAGCTACAGTCAGTTCAACCAGCTCATCTCTCTCCTTTTCAGGCCGAGCCTTCCAAAATCCCAGGTCCAGAGACAGTCCCAGTCTGAGGACCAAGGTCTCCCAATTTCTCCAGCCACCCTTCAGCTCCCAAGTGGAAGGACCGCTCTGTGCTGCCTGGGGGTTAGGGAGTATAAAGGGAGCCCCCAGGAGGCAGCGGTTTAGAAGCAATGGGCATATAAGAGACTTCAAGTAAAGGCAGGACCTTGCTAAGGGGCAACCTCATGACTAAAGGTCCATTCTGGCCCTCCCTGGTGCCCGAGGAAGTGAGAAATGTCGATCATGGGACGTGCAGCTGTGGAACTAACCGAAATTCTCATCGGTTCAATACGCTCAGAACCACTTTTCAAAAGTGAAAACAGCACTTAACATTTAACAGGGTGGGGAGGAAATCACTCAGTCCTTGTGCCATCTCCCCCAGGGGGTCTTGAAAATAAAATGGTACCACAGACCCAAAAGCCCCCTCACCAAGCATTAGGCATCCTATCATGGGCCCTAGGAGTCAAGGGAGAAACTCCAGGACAGAGAAGAAGGCGCGAGCCCTTCCTAAGGGAGGGCTGGGTCACCATACCAGTGACAGGGCTCAGCGGCACTCAGAAGCCCAAGGCAGAGTCTGGGGGTGGGCCCAGCAAGGCTGGGGCCAGAAGCATTAAGAATCTATTCCAGGTGAAGGACACCTCTCTGATGGACGGTGAGGGGAGAGCACAGCTGGGCGGAATGACTCAGTCACAGAATCACAGCTAACCAGGCAGGAGGAAGCCTCGGCCATCCCTTAAGTTCAATGCATTCAATTCACAGAAAGAGAAACCAAGGCCCAGAAAGGTTATGGGATTTGTAGGTGACTGGGTAGTTAGAGGCAAAGCCAAGAGTAGAGCCCAGACGTCCTGATTCCCATAAAGACCCCAGGAGAATCTGGCACACAGCCTGAGTCCAGCTCAGTACCTGACTGCTCTAACTCATGTTTCCAGCTCACAACGTGCTCCAACGCTAAGCGGGATCTCCTAGTGGAGAGCAAACTGAGTTCTGACTTCAAAGACCGCTTGCCCCCAAGGTGCAGAAACACTGGGTCCCACCTCCTCCTCCACCTTCCCAGCAGCCTCGCTCCATCCCCAGAGACTCACCGATTTGGTCATTGCCATTGCAGGACGCAAAGTGCAGGGCCGTGCGGCCTTTGTCGTCTGCCGTACACGGATCCACCCCATCTTCCAGCAGCTGCTGCACTGACGCCGCCAAGGGCGGAGGAACAGGAGAGGAGAGAGGGAGCGTTAGCTGAACACCAGACCGAGGGAGAAGGGGAGGGGCTGCTGCAGGCCGGGAGGGCTCCTCCTGGACGTCGGCCTTGCAGGACAGGGCACCTCCACCGCTCCCTCATCCTGCCTGTGACCAGGAAAACCCAGGGTTGAGCTGGGAGAACGGCGAGAATGGGGCACAGCAGCCCTCAGCACCTTGGCCAGCGCCGAGCCCCTGACTCGCCCAACATTCTCCATCCAGGGGGCTTCAACCTATCTTGAGCACAGCCCAAGCCTTGCCCTGGAGAACTCTCCACCTGAGTGAGCTTGTGGGCTGCAGAACTGGGCCCACTGAGGCAGAGCAGGGACCTGGACCCGTACCCACGTCGAGATATGCCCCACTATGGCACTTCCCAGGAATGCAGCTGACATCACCAAGGAAGAGATGAAGAGAGACGAGGAACGAATAAGCCAAGTGCAAGCTGATGCTCCAGACAGGCAGGCCAGTCCAAACCCGGGACCCCACGATCAGAACCAGAAAACACCCGGACAAGGACCTCCAGGGACAGGCTGCCACCATGTCCTGGGGCAGCCCGGTCCAGCTGGGCTGGCTCTCGTTCTAATGTCTAGTCTGACCTGGTCTCTCCGCAGCTGCTCCCCACCCCAAACTTCCCAGCACCTGAAAGCAGCTGTCAGTCAGGTCTCCCCTCGCCCTCTGACCTCCTGGCTAAATGCGCTCAGTTCTTCCAAGTCTATGAAATGATTCAAGAACTTTCACTGTCCTGGGGGCTCTCCAGTTCACCTGGAAATCCCTAACTTCCTTCAAAGCTCAGGCTGCTCTGACTCACCCCACGCTAGTGTCTTCAACCCCAAATTTCCCTGCAGCTGGGCAGCACAGTGGAGAGTGCTGGCCTTGGAGCGAGAAAGACTCGAGTTCAAATCATGCCCAGATCCTTACTAGCTTTGTGGCCCTGGACAGTCGCTGAACCTTTCTCAGCCTCAGGTTCCTCATCTGTGAAATGGGGATGATAACAGCACCAAATGAGATAACACGGATAAAGCACTTTGCATACTTAAAGTGCCTAGTAAATGCTGCCATTATTATTATAGAGTGTGTATCTGTTTTGATTCCTGTAACCCAATGCCTCCTCTGCATGGAGCATGATACGCTCCCAGGGAGCAGGGACTCTCATTCTGGGCCCTTGTCTTTCCAGTGCTGAGCCCGGACTCTGGCACATAGTAGGTACTTAATAAATGCTGGTTGTCAGTCTCTTTCGTAAAGGGTTGTGACCAGAACGGGGTCCCACACTCCCAACACAGCCTGAGGCTGCAGTAGCTTCTGGGCCGCCTCAGTCACTAGACGGTCATTTATTCAGTCTACTACGAGCCAACAATGGGGAAGAGAATGAATGAACCCACAAAAAACCCTTTGTAAAGTACTCACCACGTGCCAGGCAATGGGGGCCAGAGGTCTGCCCAGGGGGACAGGACAATAGACTTGAGGGAGTGGTGACCAGCAGCACCACCCTCCTGCACCTGCAGCTCTGGCCTGGAACCTCAGGGCCTTGGCCAGCACACACTGAGCTCCCACTGAATGCCTTCCCTCCACCTATGCAAACCCTGCCAACACCTTTCGGTCTTGGCTGAGAAGTTCAGCGTCCCTGAAACCTTCCGTGACCGCTCTGGTCCTCAAGGGGCTCCTTCCTCTGTTAAAATTCTACAGCACTTATTGCCGGTATCACACAATTTAATGCTTAGTTACAGGAATTGGTATTTGTAAAGTACTCAGCATGGTGCCCAGCACACAGTAGGTCCTTAATAAATGCTTGCGCTCTTCCCTTCTTGTCACACGTTGGCTATGCAAGGCAGGGAGGCGGCTGTGCCACCCCAGACAGGTTTCTCATCCTCTCTGAGCCCAAGTCCCCTAATCTGTAAATGGGGATAACGAGGCTTGCCTCCCTTCTCCTACATCCGCAGTCAGGGCAGTCCTTTGTTGGCTTTGTGTGCGGAACGCGCAGGCCCTTCTGAAGGTCAAACCCAAGCACAGAGGGGATGCTCTGCCCTCGTCCACTCCCTTCCCAGCACAGGCCAACACCCCTTCCCCAAGTTCTTCCGCAGAGCCTGCATTCCATCGTTCCCACCTCACTTAAGGCAGGAAAGAGGTGTTTTCTTCTACTTTACCTTAACCAAACACCCTGAAGCCCACCTGTCCTGCCCAATACTTGTTGATGGACATGGGGCTGAAAAACTCACATTTCAGGGAGCGGAAAGAGACATGGCTGAAGCAATCTTGGACCCAAAGGGCCCTTGGCCCAGCCCAGGGCAGACATCTCTTCCAGTCCATCCCCAACTGGGGCAGGTGGTTTCTTTGCCAAATTTATCTGAGTACAGAGTACAGAGACCATTCAAGTTTGGGGGCCCAAGGCTTCCTCAGGCTGGCAACCTTTGGGGTGACTGAGGAGGCAGCCAGGAGTCTAGCTGTGGCAAAATGTCATAACACACACAGAAGCCAAGCATTCCCGCAGGCTGGGGACCATTCACTCTGCAGAAGCCCTTGACCCAATTCAGGAGGGAAGCACAACCATCTTAGACATGTCTCTCCCCCTCTCGGTGCCTCAGTTTCTTCATCTGTAAAATGAGGAGCACCTCCTCCCTGGACACAGAAAAGTGGGGGACTATCAGGACAGATTAGTGCATGTGTATCAGCCAGTCACTTCAGGCCTTCCCTAAACATGAGAAAAGGAAAAAGGATACCTGCTCAGCAGCTGGTTTTTCAAATCTGAAACATCTCATGGGGTACTAACCACTTCCTGTAACAGCTTGCAAGGATGATTAATCCCCACCCCAATTTGCCCGAGGAGCTCCAGACACAGGCCCCCCTACCCACTCCCTCAGCATCTCCCAATTTCAAGCTTTGAAGTTTGCAACGTGAAGTGCAAGAATGACCTTCTGAGTGTCACGCCCGCCCTCCCAGGAAGTCACTCCAGAACTGCCTCCATTTTACAGTTGCAGACATTGAGGCTCAAAGGGGTTGAGGGCCACACAACTCATAAGCTGGGGGCAGAATCTGAACTCAGATCTCCTCAACTCCAAGACCAGTCCTCTCTTAGACACTTGGATTCGAGAGTTCCCTCCCCTTGTGGGACGTCGTACAAGTGGAGCCAATTATCCATTGGAGAACCCCTGTCCTGCCTCCCTTCCTCCCTGACAGGCCAGACATACAGAAAGGAGGCTGGCGGCCCCAGGATCTGCTGCTCAGGGGGTCTTGTCTCCTGCCCCCACCTGCCTCCCCCCACACCTGCTCACACACACTGAAACACAAGCCTTTTTGAGTCTGCACAGCCCCCTCCTGGGGACATGGCAGGGGGCCTCAGTGAGCCTCCCCATTAGCATCAGCTGTTTGCACTCGGAAAAAGGGTCACTGCCCCACGAACGTCTCCTTGGCCTTCTACCAGAAGAAAGCAAGAGATGCCAATACCTCTCCTGGTTCTAGCAATGGGCACAGGTTCTGGAACGGCTCCAAGCTCAGAGTGGCAATGGCCCACATGCCCATCCTCCAAGGCTCCTCCCCAGGAGGGGCAACCAGGGGCTGACTCGGGGAAGACCCTCCGAGGCCTGGTCAGAGAACGGCTGGGGGCTCCCGACAAACCCCACCGCCAGGGTCAGTGATGGGAAGGTCCTTCTGGAACAGTGAGGCAAGGTGCTGTGGGGCAGCAAACAGGCCAGGTCCTGCCAGGGGGAGCCAGCCACAAGGACTGACACCTGCTGCCCACCTTCCGGTCACTGCAATGCTGCCTCTTCGGAGCTTCCAAGGCAGGCATATGGGCAGGAAGCTCCGAAAGTTCTCCGGAGACAACCAGGAAGAAGGCTGGAAGTAGAGATCAGTCTCCCTAGTCTCACCGTTGGGGGCACTCGGGGGCCTGGAACATTAAAGTCATTAAAATAGTCCAAATGTGAGAGGGACCTTCAACAGGGAAGGTCAGAGCTGGAGGGGCCTGAGAACAGGGAAGGTCAGAGCTGGGAAGGGCCTGAGAACAGGGGATGTCAGAGCTGGAGGGGCCTGAGAACAGGGGATGTCAGAGTTGGGAGGGGCCTGAGAACAGGGAAGGTCAGAGCTGGGAGGGGCCTGAGAACAGGGAAGGTCAGAGCTGGGAGGGCCCTCAGAACAGGGAAGGTCAGAGCTGGGAAGGGCCTGGGAACGGGGGATGTCAGAGCTGGAGGGGCCTGAGAACAGGGGATGTCAGAGCTGGGACGTCCCTGAGAACAGGGAAGGTCAGAGCTGGGAGGGACCTTCAACAGGGAATGTCAGAGCCTCTGGAATTTCAGGGTTCAATGCAATTTATATAATAATTTGCAAAGTAGAACATTGCAGAATTTTACCAGGAATAGGGAGTTTTTTGGTTTAGACTCTTCTCTTAATTAAAAGGAGGATTTTTCACTGTTTAAAATGTGTGCCACCCAAGTTTTCCTTGGCCTGCAGGCCCTCTGAGGTGCTCGCCCTAGTCCTGCGCCTGTGTGGCCCCGGCTGGGCGTCTACAATGACTATTTCGGCGGTCCTCTCCAGCTTGGAAGCCACAGGACTTCAGCACAGCATACTCCTCTCATCTCCCTTGCCCAACAGCTTCTGATTCCCTGGCAGAACTCTGCCTGCGCAGGAAGACAAGGAAGGCTGGCTGCCTCTGCCCCTTCCTTGCTCGTCTCCAGTCAGGAAAATCCAGCCGGAGCCTCCACCTCCCAGGCTGATAGGGAGACTCCGAGGAACCAGGGTAGGTGGAGTCTTGCAGTTTTAACAAGTCAGAAGCAACTTAGTATTGTCTCCTGCTTCCTTCTGGTGGAGGCTCAGAGGGGCCCCACTTCACCCCCAGCCAGCGGCCAGCACCGGTGACCCATGCACCCTCCCCTACAGGAGAGGCCAAACCTGACCACACACAGTCCAGCACACGATGAACAATAAGTCTGCCGCCCTCCTCGAGGTTCCCTGTTTCTCAAAGGAATGACACCAGGCTCTCCCTGTCTAATTTTTGAGCTACCCAGGCCTTCTCCTCCTCCTCCTCAGGAGACTCTCAGGATCCCCAGGGGCGTGCAGACGCCTCTGTGGAAACTCACCTGTTTCTAAGTCATTGGCATTGGCAGATTCCCGAAGTCTTTTCAGCGCTGTCAAGAGAATCAGAGACAACCGGGGTAAAAATAAAATGTCCTCCGAAGGGGCAACAGGGCATTGTTTCTTAACTAGCTCCCCCAGTTTAGACTATGCAAAGTTAGGGGAAGCGCCAGGACACAAAGGACACCTAGATACTCCTTCTCCCAAAGCACTGACTTCCTCAACTCTGCAGGAGGGTCAGAAATGGCCCTTCTGCTGACCCCCTCTCTGGCCTCCCTTTGGGGGAATGTTGGGGGACGAGCTGCCCTGCTCCGGCAAACCCCCTGTGGGTCTCCCATGGGTACTTTCCCAGAAATCCTGAGACCATTGGATCTTTGACCTCCTGTGCTCAATATCCCAGAGGATCCGCCAAACACATCTCACACATAAATGTTGCTGGGGATTCTTGGGCCGCAGGGTCCTCCCTCTGCTCCCAGGGTCCTGGGGGTCCTCTCTCCCTCTCCCTGCTCCCGGGGTCCTGGGGGTCCTCTCTCCCTCTCCCTGCTCCCAGGGTCCTGGGGGTCCCCTCTCCCTCCCTCTGCTCTGGGGGGGGGTCCTCCCTTCCTCTGCTCCCAGGGTCCTGGGAGTCCTCTCTCCCTCCCTCTGCTTTGGGGGGGGGGTCCTCCCTTCCTCTGCTCCCAGGGTCCTGGGGGGCTCCTCCCTCCCTCTGCTCCCAGGGTCCTGGGGGTCCTCTCTCCCTCCCTCTGCTCTGGGGGGGGTCCTCCCTTCCTCTGCTCCCGGGGTCCTGGGAGTCCTCCCTCCCTCCCTCTGCTCCCGAGGTCCTGGGGGGGTCCTCCCCCCTCTACCCTGCTCCCCACTCCCCCCCCCGCTCACCGTGCACCTCCCGGCCCGTGGGCCCCAGGCGGCGGTGTGGTCGGGCCGCACGCCGCAGGCGGCAGGGCCGCAGCTTGCCGCTCCACTCGTCTCCGGGATCCGAACCGGGGTCGCGCTGCCACAGCTCGTGCAGGAGCCGCAGCGGCGCCGGGGTCGGGCCCGGGACGGCGGGGCCCACGCCGCCCAGCACCGAGGGGAACCCGCCGAACGAGAAGCCGCCCTCGGGCCCCGCGCCACCCTCGGCCCCGGCGCCGACTCCCGGGCCTCCGCTCGGGGCTGCCATGGCAACCGCGCCGACCCCGGCCCCCGCCACAGCCGCCGCCGCCGCCGCCGCCGTAGCGTCAGCGTCACGTCACGTCAGCCTCGTTCTGGGCTCCCCGCCGACAGATCAAGGGCGGGGAGAGGCCTTCCCCGTTAGGGCCCCTGGCCCGGATGGGCAGCGCCTTGGACCAATCAGAGTCTGCCGATAGCGAGCGGCGGAAGCCAATCAGGCCCAGAAGGCTAGGTTTAGGAATGTGGATTGGTGATAGGAATCCGACAGGCACGGTCACCGTCCAATCAGAAAACGAGGCGTTCCGCCCGCCCCCGGAGGCCAATCAAATCACTCTGCTGGAGACCCTTTCCCCTTTCAACCTTAGCCGCTTATGCCTCAGCCAATCAGCGCCAGACTCCCGTAACCAATCAACAAAAGAAAACAGGGAGTAGAATGGGATTTTTTCAATAGAAAATTTAAGTCTGACAAGATTTTTTGGTATTTTTTTTGAGCTTGTTGCAGACGTGAAACAAAGAAACAAACAAAACCTAAGCTTCCGCCCGTGGGAAAGAGCTTCCTCTAGATCCCGCGGGGAGACGCAAAGTCTCAGAGCGCATGCGTTTGAAAAGAGGGCGGGGGACGGGGAAAGACGCAACTTCTGGGTTTGGGACTTCGAGGGGTGAAAAGCGGAGGTTCGTCTGAGTGGGGGTCGGGGACGGCAAGAGGCGCCCTCTGCTGGGCTGGATGCTTAAGTCGCCAATCAGAACAAACATTTCAAAGTGTGCGCATATTAACATAATTGGAAATGCGTAATACATTCTCATGTTTATTAATCATACCTTTCTCTCTCCTCTCCGTTCAAATCCAGCAGCAGACACTTACCAGCAGTGTGACCCTTAGGGAACTCACTTAACCTCTGCCTCAGTTTCCTCAACTACAAAATGGGAATAATAGCCTTCTCACCCCCACCCCCACCCACCCTCCAGACTTGTTTTCGCTTCTAATCTACAGAGGCAATGAAGTTCTGCCAAATCATGCACAGAAGACCATCATGATTGGTTCTCAAAATTGTATTTTGCATTTTTCCAAATTATTTGGCATTTTAATTTTCACAAGCTTCTTTTTCCCCGCCTTGCTGGAAAGAAGAATGAACACCTGTGCAATGAGTAATACCGCAAGCACCAGATCAGGGCCGGAAACTTCAGACCTTCAGAATTCTGCAAAAGTGCAAAACTGCAAAACTGCTCGCTCCCCTCCCCCACCTTTTTGCCTTTGAAATCGTTTTTAGACGGCGCATTCTTTAGTCTGTGAAATCCCCTTCCCCCTACACTGAAGCAGCAAAAACGTTCACTCCTGGGGGAGAGAATGATGGAGATGCAAATCTCGCACAGTCTCTTAATAGTCTTAGGGACCTGTAACCTCCGCCCCCCCCACCAAAAAGAAACAAAACAAAACAAAAACAACCCCCGGGCTATTTCAGCCCATATAAAAACATTTAAACCTCCTAATTTGGAAATACACATTAAACAGATTTTATTTCAGTTACAAATTAAACTTGTCCAGAGTTAGGAACACAGAGATGAGACAAAGCTTGGAAAGATTTGAAACCTTCAGCAGAAACTGTATCACTCTTTTTCTTTTTGGCTAATCAGACCACAGAGAAAAAGTCAGCTGGATTTATATAGAGAACACAGATAATGCTGATAACATGTACTGCAAAAAACAAACACAAACCAAACACTGCCCTCTCTTACTTAAAGTCTCAGAGCACGAGATCTTTTACCGGGGCTCTAAATGCCCTTTTCAGGGGATGCCACAGGCATTTACAAAGAAAAAGTCCAGGTGAGTGGTAATGCTGGGTTGTTCATATCTTATTTGGTCCACTCCAGCTATCCTCAGGATGAACAGCTGCCTTCTGTCCACAGGTGAGTTTGATATACAGGAGGATTCTCATCACAAAGAACTGAGTCTATCCCCAGGCGGGGGATCCGGATCATTGGTTCTGATTAGCATGGGAAAGTCTCCCAAGGGCTCTTGCCTGGATATCTCTAGCCATAGGTCTCCTGATCCCTACAGGAGTTTTGGCTCACTTTACTCATACAATCACTGGCCATCACTCATGTAAAACTTTATTTTTTTTTTTCACGTAAAACTTTAAATCCAACCAAATTGCTTCTTCTGTTAATGTCACTGGGGAAGGTTTTTGAGAAAGCTGAAGACCAAAAAGATCAAACCGAAGTCCCAGTCTCAGCTTTGGTGTTGATTGGACAGAGGTGGCCCTCCCATTGAGGCTTGATCCCAGCCTTGCATCCTAGCTTTCCTAGGTTAAATCTTGTGACGTGCCAAGACTGATAGATTCAGCCTCAGTTAACAGATTATGACTAAGACCTTCTGAAATAATCAGGCTGATTCCGTATCACTTTTTTATCGATTCTGCTTACAATTTAGTCCTGTGAAATGCCTAAATCATAGTTCTTTCTCTCTGAACTTAGTTGAGAAATTCAGCTGGCTTATAATGGGTTAAGTTTAAAAATCTAGCCCTCCTGCTAATCACTGTTGTATTCCTGCCTCAAGGAAATCTGCTATCCTTGAGGAATGCAGTGCACATGGACACCAAGGAACTCTGCTATCCTTGAGGGAGTCTGGTCCAGTATCTTAACACCACCAAGTCATCCTTCAAGGATGTCTGGTTTATTCTCCAAAGAAATCTGGTCTGCTATCTCTACCCTTGCAAGTGGACTCAGACAATGACCATTTCTTAGGCACAGGAGGAAAAGAGCCCCTCATTCCCAACTTCCAACCATATCACCCCCTACACCTCAGCTCTGTAACCAAACATACTGATTTCACCATTTATGACGTCCATCTCTTTTAACTTGTTCCTACCAACAAGGTCCTATTCTTTGTTCTGTACTCCTCAAAACGATAAAGAGGGCAGTCCCCCTCATTCCAGGAGTCTTAGTTTAGCTGAGTAAGCCGAGATCCTATTTATTGGTAAATGTTCACTCTACCAATAAATTGATTATGCTTAGAACTTTGTGCCTCAGTTTACTTAACTGTTACACAGAAGTGTCCTTCCTTGTAAAGCCTTACCAACAGAAAAACAGCTCACTTTTCATCAGTTTTTATGTGTTCCAATCTGGTCTGTTCCTGACAAAAAAAACCTTAAGGAAAATGACTTGTAGACTAAGAAGAAGACCCAGAGCAACGTGGGAGGCTGCTAATGCTGGTAAAAAATGTTACCTTGTGCACGCTCAGGCAGGCTATCCTCAGTGTACGATCACTTACCAGCTCAGTCACACCAAATTGTTGGGGAATTCTCAGCCTCTTAGGAAAGGTATACTTAATGACTATGGGTCAAAGAGGGGACAGAATGAAAGGAAAAGAAATGTATTAGTGAGCTAAAGAAGTGAGTTCAGGCTGGTTCATGGAGGACCAAAATGGCATCAGTATGTTAGGGGTCAAGGTATGGTGTGTCCTACTATGGCTCACAGGGCACAGCGCCATCTTTGATTTGGGCACAACATTCAGGGGGTCCTGTGTCCGTGTTTCCCTTGTCTCACAAGTGATTCCAAAGCTCTTCAGAGACCTTGAAAGAGTCCTTGCACTGTGTGAGCACTTGCCTTGTGGAGATGTCTGTACAATAGTCTTTTAGGCAAGTGCTCACTTGGCCTTTGAACATGACCAGCTCATTGGAGTTTCGCTCTGCAATAGCTCGAATGCTTGGCAGTGTAGCTGGAGAAAGGACCTCAGTGTCTGGCACTTTATCTTGCCAGGTGATCCTCAGAATCTTCTGAAGACCATTCAAATGGAATCGATTCAATTGAACCATCGGTTTTAGCAAATAGAGAAATTAGGAACGCTGGGAGTAAATTCACTTACCTTGGCAGGATACATTCCAGGGACGTACACATAGATGACGAGGTTGACACACACATTGCCAGAGCTGGTTCAGTGTTTGGGAGGCTCCCAAGGAGAGAAGAGGTATTAGGCTGCCTACTAAACTGAAGCTCTATGGGGCTGCTGTGCCGACCTCAATGTTGCATGCCTGTGAAACCTGGACTCTATGCCAGTGCCATACGGGCCAGGAAACTGAATCACATTTGGGTGAGGAGAACCTTCAGTTTCTTAGGTATACTTTGGGTTTCTGTAGCTTTTTTAACTTTTTGGACTACATAGCCAAATCAATGGCGTTCTGAGGCAGAATGGAAATTGGGGGAACCTGTAAACCTTGGGGTCAGAATGTTAACTTTGTGGTCTCAGGAGCTGTCAAAGATCAGGTTTGTCCAATGGGATGTTTTTTTCTGTAGTTAATCTGATCAGAATACGCTGTTCAAGCAGGCAATGTTGAGGATAGCGGAGGCCTGGAGAGAATCAGTCAGGTTTATCTCATTGTTGCCAGCAAATAGGGTATAGTCAGAGGGCCTATCTCTACGCACACAACACTGTAGCTATTTCCTTGGTCTCCGAGGTTGCTTTTCTGGGGAGCAGGTATTTCCCCAAAACTCAAGGTACACAGGTTTATCTACCTCCGTAATACATCTTAACAGACAAATTTGAGAGCCTTAAAGGACCAGCGCTTGGGACAGTAATTTCTTGTTTTAAAAGAAAAGTCAGCCCAAGCCTATTCTGTTCCTCAGCTTCTGACTCGGGGGATGCTGTGGGCCTGGAGGCAGAAGCCAGTATGCACGGCTCCTTTTCCAAATGAGTCAACATCACTCTTGGGGGTTCACAGAAAATGATGGAGAAGGGCTCATCAGATCCTCCCATTCACACTGCCTGCTACCCTTGGCAACCGCTACCCTCCAAATGGATAAACTGTGAAAACTACACCAGGCTATACCCAGGGGAGAAAGAAACAGACCACACATGAAAAAGCTGAACAGAGCTAAGTGGTTTATTGAGTGAATGATACAAATGAAAATGCTTTTATCAAGTGTTTACTACGTAACAAGATCTGGGGATACAGAAAAGAAAATTGAGACAGATTCTTGATTTCTAATTAGAAAAGACAAGACAGTTCAACTTACAGCATAGATTAAAATTCCCCAAAGTCCCCAGAATGCAATGGCAAGGCAGATAGCTGAGGTTCAAGGGTCCTGAGGGATATAGGAGGATGAGCGTTGTGGCTCGCAGAGGTCTCAGGACAGGTGGAGATGGGTGGAGATGAGATGAGATGCTTTTCAGGTGTGTCTGGAGCTGGGTCTCCCTGGGCTATCAGAGACCTTAGTGGAGGAAAGCACAGTAGTTCCCCCAATAGCTCCTATCCCAAAGATCTCAAGGAGGTTGGAAAGCCAGGGATGGATTTCCACTGGCTATGTGGGCAGCACAGAGGCTGCTCTCTAGAGTCAGCTAATGGGGAGTGGGAGTGGTAGAGGGGGGAGGAATAGCTCAAGTCCATTTCAAGGTGGCGCCTGGGCTTTCCCCTTCCATATAAAAAGGGTCCCATTTCTGGGACATTGGCAATGCTTCACTTTTCAAGGTCCCAGGGTTCTAGGGTAGTGATGGGCTTAACAGAATCCATGGAGCAGGCTTCCTATTTCTTTTCTCCACCTAGGAGGCAACGTCTCTTTCCCTTAGGGATCAGGGTGCCACCCGAAACCCCAGACTCCTTCACATGGGCTGACCTGAGCCTTCTCATCACAGTTGTAGAAACACAAGATCTTCCCAACAATTTAGGAAGGAGGGAAGGAAGGAAAGAAGTAAATAAGTATTTATTAAGCATCTACTATTTACCAGGCACTATGCAAAGCACTTTACAAATATTCTCTAATATGCTCCTTTTAGGGATATAAGGTAAAAAAACAAATTGCACAAGCAAGTAGACAACCAGGTGCCCTAAGAAGCTGGCTTGTTTTTGAAATTATCTCCCCCCCCACCAAAAAAAAAAAAAGAAAAAGAAAAAAAAGGGGCAGCTAGGTGGCACAGTGGATAGAGCACCAGCCCTGGAGTCAGGAGGACTCGAGTTCAAATCCAGCTTCAGACATATAACACTTACTAGCTGTATGACTCTGGGCAGGTCAGCAACCAAAAAAAAGAAGAAGAAATTGTCTCTCAGCAGGGTTTGTTTTAAAGACTTCAGTGCCTCCCCTTTGATCATCCAGGAGCCCTGACTTAGATGGGGGGGACTTTCACAAGATTTCTAATATGAGAGACCTCCTAATTAAGGCCTCACTCAGCAGTAGACGAACCATGCCCATATCTATTCTCTAGCAGGCAATAGCAATCATTGACATGCGTGGAGGAAGGGTGTGGAACTTGCAGTTTCAAAATTCTTCAGTACAAACACATCATAGCTCAGAGAAGGCCATCATTAATAACACGGCAGCTGCTCAGCCCCGTCGGCCATTTCCCATCTCCCACAATCCTTACAAGTATGATGATCATTGAATGCCTGGGGAAGGATGGGGGGGGCCCATGATGGCACTGGGATGCAAGGAGAACAGAAGAAATCATAATAATAATGAGATTCCTGGGCCAAAACTCACCACCATCTTATCTTCTTTGCTCATGCTTCATGACCCCAGGCAATCGCACAGAGATTCAATCAAACATTTATGTTATGTCAATTTGCAGAAAAAACAAAACAAAACCAAAAGGGCTTTAGGGGTGATAGACATGGTCAAGCAGGAATTTGTTTTCCTTGACTCTACATATTTTGGAACAGGGATTTTATTTTTCTTTCTTTCTTAACAGGGAACAGGGGAGATGGGAGGGAGAGAAGGTAGACTTTAACTAAAAAGAAAAGGGGCTTTTCCATCCCTTGACCCCCATCCATGTGGATTTTGGGGTGCAGATAGACACTGAGAGGCAAATAAGGCATTTAGGTGTTTTCCTGCAATACTCAAAGAATTTACTGTAAGTTGGGGAACCAGGCCATCATGGTGATTATAATGAATAGATTCCGGCAGCTCTGGGTCAGAAAGTTACAGAATGACTTCCCACAAGTATTGTACAACGAGAAAACCTCCCCTCCATTCTGTCTGATCCCAGACACATGCTGTGATTTTTTTTTTAAATAGTCAAGTGGCACACTGGACCTTCACACTGCTCAAAGGATGGAAGAGCCAGCCAGGCTGGTGACCCAACAGGCAGGAGGCCCGGGATAAGGTGGCCAATGGAGTAAGGCAGCTCCCGTCCCGGCCTCTGGAAGATCACCTGCCCAGCAATTCAACATAGCAAGCCCAGAATGGGTCAGTCATCTTGGATGAATACCAGGCATGCCAGACAGGCCCTAATATGTCAGGCTGCCAATCCAGCACCAGCTCCCTTTACTACGGATCCCCTTAAGGGCACAGATCATGGGCAAGAGATATCAATGGTCCCAAAGGGTTCTCCTCATCACCCAAAGACCTATGATCTACAATTAAGGCAAAGCACACATATTTCCAAGGGGGGGGATCCCTCCCCAAGATAGTCCAGAAGATTTCTTTTTTTTTTTTTTAAACCCCACAAACACTTCAACTCTCAAAAAAAATAAAAAATTTAAAAAAAAAAGATTCCATCTCTCATGCCCATGAGAGCAGTTTCTGTTTTCAAGACTGCATAGATTGTGGCTGAAAGGGATGGTGAGCCTGGGCTTTTTATCCCTTTGATTCTCCACTTAGAAAAGGTACAAAATCTGTTATCCCCAAGCACCAAGGGGCTACAAAGAACACCCCTTCACTCCTAGCCCTTGGGCTAGGCATTATTAAAATCTGGGAATAGAAAGCTCTTCCCCTTTAGGGAACTGAGGAATTTAAGGCAAAAGGTGAAATTACAAAAGACAGAAAACAAATCTCCCGATGAGGAGCCATTTCTCAGAGGAGAAATGAAGCCTAGAGAGTGGGCTTGGAGGGTCCCTCCAGTCGGGGCTCTAAAGACCAACTATCCCGCAGGAGAACGTGACGGAAGGCTCCAGTTGTTGGAGCTGGTGAGTGAGCCGATAAGGGCACTCCTTTCTCCAATGACCACGCTGTTTACAGTAAAAGCATGCAGAAGGGTCAAAGGACTTCCGAGGCCGTCGTCTCTGAGGGCCTCGACAGACGATCATCTTCCTCTCCTGCTCCAGCTGCCAGTAGTAGTGAGCTACTGCTGATAATTCGTACACGCATTTTCCTTCCCACCCCACACAAAAAGTACGCAGCTGTTTTTGAACTCTGGGGAGGAGGCCTTGGACAAAAGCGATCGCCATCCCTTGGGTGGCCCCATTGCCCGGCTCACTGATGCCAGAGTGCTCCTCAAAGACTTTTGTAAAGCGATTTAAATACATGCTAGGTTGCTCATTCATTTCTTGCTTACAGGATACGATTTTCCCCCAGTCAGATTTTCTAGGGCAGACCAACAGAACAGCATTGAGTAAAGCCTGCCAGACCCAAACCAGGTAGGGACTCTCTCCAGGATCCTTCGGCGGCCAGAGCGCCGCATCAAAGAGGCGCTCTCTGACCTCTGTGGCCAGTACAATTGTCAAAAGTCTGTTCATATCTGCCCAGGTGGGCTTAAAAACATTAATAACAAAACTTAACTGATTCTTAAACTCTATTGGTTCTTTCTCAATGTCTGAGAACTTGCTAGCAAGGTCATACAAATTCTTAGGCCTAGAAGCAATAAAATCACCTAAATTCCTTCTCCATTCTGGGTGCTCTACCACTCTCAGCCTGGGAGAAGAGATACAGGAGTCTCTAGCATCTGAGGCTACAACAGGTGTTGGGGTTAAGGAAGGAAGGGGAGTTAAAGGAACGGAAGAGGCAGCGGCTGGGGCCTGAGTCGGCGCCGGAGGGGCAGCGGCTGGAGCTGGAGGTTGGCCAACTCCTTGAGCACTCAAGCGCTCCCCAACATCCCCCGGCACCTCCTGTTGTGGTGGAGGGTGATTGACAGACTCAAAAGCTCGAATCTTATCTTCCAGTTTCGCAATGGAATCTCTATGATGCTGCTCCCGAGCATCCTGGTGCCTTTTGGAAGCTTCAGCGTACCAAACAATGAACGCTTTCCACTCGCCTCGCCCCACTTTAGAGCCACGATATTCCAGGACCTCCTTCAGGTGCATTATTTTACTCAGGTCAAACGATCCTTCTCGTGGAAACCACAGACCGTGACCTCTCGTAAGCCTATGCCAGTCCACCAGAAATCTGCAGCACTTAGGCTGGTAGTGGGTGTACATATAAAATGCTGGCGTTTCTTTCTTTGGAATGGCTCCTCTGTCATCCTTAGACTTGATGTTTCCCATTGTGGAGGCTCCTCCTACCTGTCCAATGAACAGTCCTTTTCAGAGTCACCTGAACAGTGGGCAACCAGGCCTCAGCCCTCACCCGTCCCTCTTGAACCCTGATCAACAGAAACCTAGCTCTCTGGGCGGGAGCCTTTACAGATCATCTAATACTCAACTGGGGCAATTCTCCCGGCTTCTTGATGCCCTGCCACCAATGTCCTCGCTCGGGGGCACCTGGTTAGCCCGTTTTGTCTAAACAATCTTATCTCTCAACCATTCTCTTAAGTGAACACAGAACAAGGACACGTACATTATAATAATCAGTGTGGGGAAAGGACAACACCGATTTTGCCCCTTTGAGCGGGCCAGGAGGGAACCCAGGAGAGCTGATCACGGGACTACCACAGGTGCCGAGAGTTAAGAGCTGTGCTACTTTTGGTGGCACACCAGTACCCTGCATCCTGTGTCTGGAGAGGAGGGCAGAGTAGGGGCCACATACTCAGCATTTGCCCAACTACAAAAAGCCTTCCTCCCACTTCTTGGGAGCCCTAGTCCCAGGGCCAGGGCTCTAACCAAGAGAAAGGAGAAAGATACTTGTCACTCGGTTAGAAAAATCCTTCCAGTCCCCTGTTCTAAAACGGCAGGTGATCTGTGGGAAGCAGGAACTGACTTATACGTGACTTCTAACACTGCCTGGCCAGGGTTTTAATCCCTGCCATATGCAATATAAAAGGTAGTTAGAGATAAAGGCAAGATACAACCACAGACACCTGAAAAGTGGTTTATAGGCCAATTTGTAAGAAAATGCTCTAAGCCTGGAAGAGGATCTAGTCTGACAGGCAGCTTAATCCCAAAACCCCTCTGAGAGATATCAAAACATCTCTTACCTACAGGTGACACCCTGGTTTGGAGGTGAGCAATCTGGTGAGTGCTGACACCCAACTCACAGGCTCAAAGAACTGTGGAGGAAAGAAAGGGAAACCCCTTAGTTGGCTATAGGGAGACAGGAGGTCCCTGTTTAACAAAATGATTCCGAGGTACAATAGTTTGCATTTGGTTTTTTTAATATGTAAATTACCAATGTTTGACTGGGTAACAGAAAATGGTTAATTCAGTGTTTCTTGGGGGGTGAGGACCTGAAAGAACGAAATTTCTTAGGTTTGTTTTTTTTTTTAAATTGGGGTTAAGTGACTTGCCCAGGATCATACAGTTTTTAACCAACCTCAATCAAAGTGAAAACAGAATGAGCCAGAAGAGGTAGGCTGAAGAGGCAGGCTGCCCACCTCCTAGCACAAAGGTGAAGGCCGGAGGGTCCAAAATGAAACACACACTTTGGGTTCTAAAAAGCTAATGATGCGTTTGGGGTCTTGGCAGGACATGCACAATGTCCTTCTAGAAGCATAGACAAGAGGCAAGTAGGTGGTAGTGGATAGAGCTCCAGCCTTGGAATCAGGAAGACCTGAGTTCAAACTCGGCCTCAGACACATACCACTCACGAGCTGTGTGACCCTGGGTGAGTCACTTAACCCCATTGCCCCATTTAAAAAAATATATATATGTATATATAAAAAAACAGAAGCATAGGCAAAACGAGGGGATGGGACAGGGGACTTGCCAGCTGCTGGGGGTGGGGATGAGGTGAAAAAGAAAAAAAAGAAAAAGTCTCATTGGGCACTTGTCCCCGGACATTGGAAATTCTAAGGCAAAGGGAGAACGGGAGTACTTAGTCAAGTCATAAGCATTTAGCAAACGCCTATTACGTGCCTGGTACTGGGGATACCAAAAAAAAAAGTAAAAATAAACAGGCAGTGCCTGCCCTCAAGGAGCTTCCAGTCTAACGGAGGAGAAGGAAGGCAAACAACTAGGCAAAAACGAGCTATGGACAGGGTGCACTGGAGATAGAAGGCAGACACCTCCCACGCCCCCACCCCACTTTACAGAGGAGGAAACTGAGGCCCAGAGAAGTGTTTTACCCAAGGATCACCCAAGCGAGACACTGGCAAAGGCGCAGAATTCGAACAGGTGCAAGAGACAAATGCACAAGCGGAGAAGGAGCCTCTGACTCAGAGGCCCAGGGCCTCGTCCCGGAAATGGGGGGAGGGGATGGGGGCGGGGCGCGGCCCCAGCTCAAAGCCCTCCCGGGACTTTTCAAACCAGCGAGTTCCTGTCTCAAAGATTGTTGCGCACGCGCGCCCCTACATATTTAACCATCATGGGATATGTTGCCGGCCTCGCCTCCCCTAGCCCTGAAGCATTATGGGGCATGGGGGGGGAGGGTGGACCTACTGCCTGGAGGCTACAGGGGGCACTCTAGATCCTCAAGCGCGACCGGTGCTTGGTAATTTGTTCTGGAAAGTTTGGATTCGGTCAAAGGGCCGCACTTGAAGACCCAGAGGGCCACATGTGGCCTCGAGGATGCAGGTTCCCCACCCCGTGTGAGGCACAGGCCTCCCTGGCCCCAAAGCATTGTGGGACATGTAGTTCAAGGCAGACTCCCAAGGACCAAGACTCTCAGACTAGTCTCTTAAGGGATAAGGCCCCTCTCCTCACAGACTGGGAAAAAGGGCTACAGCTTGGGGATCGTGCCCAGATCCTAGTGCAGGGCACAAGCGTCATCAACGCCTTTCTGCCCCGCCCCGCCCCGCCCCTCGACGCTGACGTAGGCGCTCTAATGCCGCCCGGGCCGGGCTGTCCGTGGCTGTCGCCTGCTCTAATCTCAAGATCCACCAAGGGAAGGGCCAGAAACTTAACTCTCCTCTCTGCTCATTAAAAGAGATAAACAAGAGCCCTAAGGCGCTTCCAAGCGCTCGATTCAATCCGTTGGCCTTATTTGGGTCCGGATCCCCTGAGACAGAAGCAGGCGTAGCTTAAACACCTAAACACGCTTTTCAGGCGCCCTCCGTCTGGGTTTACTAACACGAGGGAACGGGGAGATGGGGAGGAACCTCCATATTGTGTGTGTCAGGGCAGGGTTTGCTTGCGCTGAATGGCCATTCGTTCGTGAGCCTCTGCCGATGCAAACACCAACAAGACCATATCACCACATCTCATGCCCTCACCCGTGGGAAGCTAGGGGAGAAAAAAAAAAAAAAGTTAAAAACCGGTCACTTCCGCCACTCTCATCATGGCGAACTCTAGCGGCCGAATCTCCCGGAAGTGTGCTTGCGTCATTCAGCTTCCGGGAATACTGCGCAGGCTCGGGCGGCCGGCGCTCTCTGCGCAATCGCAGAGATTGCTCCTTCTCTGAGCCGAAACTCTGAGCTGCCGCCATGTCCTATCAGGCTGAGGATTATGACAACGAGGTAACGGGGGCCCTGCTGCCCGGGTCGAGGTCAGCCCCCTTCAGGGGCTCGGGGGGTGGGCGTGCGGTGAGGTGCGGGGTCTCTCCTTCCCCCACGCTCCCCTTCCCTCCCCCACTCTTTTCTCTCCGCCCCCCAACTCTCCCATCTCCCCTCCCCCTTCAGCTCTCCCCCATCCTCTCTTTCTCCCCATACTCCTTCTCCCTCCTCCTCTTTCCTTTCTCGTCCCCCCCGCTGTTTTTTCTTCTCTTTCTTGGCTCCCCCACTCTCTATCCATCTTTCCTTCTCTGTTCTCTCCTTCTCTTTCTATTTTTTTTAAAGGCAATTGTGGTTAAGTGACTTGCCCAGGGTCACACAGTTAGTAAGTGTCAAGTGTTTGGTCTGAGGCCGGATTTGAACTCAGGTCCTCCTGACTTCAGGGCCGGTGCTCTATGCATTGCACCACCTACCTGCCCCCCTTCTTTCTCCCCTTAAAAACAAAGCCCCATCTTTCTGCCGGCTGTCATCTTGGGTGCCTTTAGAGGTGGGCACATGTCAGTCACTGCACCAGACGTTGGGGATGCAAAGAAAGGCCAGAGTGGGCCTGCCCTCAAGGAGCTCACATTCCAGCGGGGAGACAGCGAGCAGATGCAGATGGGACAAGGGGGAGAGGATCTCAAAAGGAAGTGGTGGAGGGGCGCTGGGGAGGGCTCAGAAAGACTCCTGGGGGTCATGGCCCAGTTGGAAAAGGGTCCAGGGGTTCCCATGGCCAAAAGGTGACCCGAGGCCAGGTGTCTGACTGCATCTGCAATTCCTCTTCCTCCAAGTTGAAAACGTTCTCTCCCTAAGATATTTTAGGATAGTTTAGTCCTGGTTTCCTTTTTACACAATGTGCTCTATGTTGGGCTTGGATATCACCTCTGCTTGTTATTCCATCCCCCCCCCCCCCCCACAGCGGGTGGTGAGCTCTTTGAGGGCAGGGGTTGAGATTTCTCTTTTTCAGTAAGTATGTAGTGAATTATACCCTTTACTTTCCCTCTCCCATCTCTCATCCTTTCCCCTTTCAGCGCCTCTCCCTTCTCCTTGTCCAACTTTTCCCTCTGTCTGTATGTCTCCCTTTCCTTTGCCATCTTCCCTGCACTGTCTCTTCTCCCTTCCTTTCCCCATTCAGCTTCATGTCCCATCCCTACTTAATCCTTTTCCTTCCCTTCCCCTCCCCCCTCCATCCATGCTTCTTTCCTGCTCCCCCTGTCCCAGGCAGGGCTATACCAGAGCCGGGTTTCTACCCAAGTTCTCTGTCCCTGTAACTTCCACTGCCTATAACTGAAAGAGCCCTGGCCTTGTAGCCCCAGGACTTGAGTCCAGGCTCAGACACCTTTCATTTTGGGCAAGTGAATCCGTCCACCTAGCTTTTGGTTCCTTCTGCTATCAAGGGAAGAAAGTTGTTGGGAGGGTTCTGGCTTTGTAGACCTCAGGCCTGTGAATGAAAAAGCTGCTCTTCTTTTTTTCCTCCAGGCTGCATATGATCCCTACGCTTACCCAGGCGACTATGACATGCACACAGGTGAGCATCGTGCACGTGCACTCCTGTCCCATCTGCAGGGCATTGAGTACCCAAGTCCGTGACCCAGCAGCACCAGCTTCAGCCAGGAGTCATCTGCCTAAACCAATTAGTTGCTGTCTTTGGGGGTGTCAGCCTTCAGACAGCATGGCCTCAGAGGGTCCAGGAAACCAGGTTGTACCTGCTCATTCCATGGTCACCGAAAAGTGTCTGCTCGGTTTTCATCGCAGATTGAAGGCTCTGATGTGCTGGGGGTAGATGACGTTGTCCCCAGGGAGCTGGCAGGCGAGTGGAAAAGATAGATGCTTCTTCAGAATATTGATTGTTTCTTTCTTTTATGTTTGTATTTCCACTGCCAAATGACCAGATGTTTGGATCAATCCATGTCGATTGATTGAGGGATAATCCACAAATCCGTTTATGTGATTTTGTGTGGTGAGGGTTGTAAAACTCTTGGTGCAGTTTATTTAGGATGGTTAATGGGGTTTATGTGAAAGTCTTGGTATTAAAAGCGCTGCACCTAAGTCACATAAATGCTGGTTACTCTTGCAGTTTGAGGTGCCGGGAACCCTGACATGTAAGGGTACAGGGATTTGCCTTGAAAGAATTTGACCACCGGAGCCTTCTTTCAGTCAAAGAGGCCAGGTTTATTTGTGATGCCAAAAGAAGTGACTTGATGGGGAATGGGACTGATGGGGAAGAGGGTTGGTGAAAAGATCTGGGTGGGATTAAGGAGTGGTAAATGACCTGGGGTGGGCCAGGTGCAGATGGGGAAAGGACAGTTAAAAGGATGATTGAGTATCTAGGTAGGCTGGGACAGGCCACATGCCTCAGATGATAAGCCTATGTGGGAAACTTCAGGGGCTGGGCTGGTCTTTTCTTTTTGGGCGTCCAGGTCCTGGTACCCTATTACCCTATCAGTTACTTTTATAATTTGAATTCACGCTAAACCTTGCGCTTACAGTATTGCCTTAGGTGCTGGGGATTCTCAGACCTCTTTTGCTCTGTGGTGATTAAGAGTGATCCATAGTGAAACTCTCTTTCCTCCATCTCTTCATGCCTCTAACCTGTAGGAGACCCGAAGCAGGACCTGGCCTATGAGCGCCAGTATGAGCAGCAGACCTATCAAGTGATTCCAGAAGTGATCAAGAACTTTATCCAATATTTCCATAAAACCGTCTCCGACCTTATCGACCAGAAAGTTTACGAGCTTCAGGCAAGCCGGGTGTCCAGTGATGTCATCGACCAGAAAGTCTATGAGATCCAGGACATCTATGAGAACAGGTGTGGACTGTCACGAGGGGTCCTTCCTTTGGGCTGCTCTGGGTTGTATAGGGCACTTTCCTTCTGAAGTCCCTGGGAGGGATCTGGTCTGCCCTCATTTTACTGATGAATTTGCTTCTTCCCTCAAACTGCTGGATGGTTGGCGTGGTCTGGCGGCTTCCCAGACTGGCTTCCCAGTCTTTCCTGTCCCGTTTGGCTTAGTCTTCATAAACCAGAGTGCTGGGTGTGGCTCCTGACCACTCTGGACTTTAGAAAGAGTCCGGCTAGATGGTCTCTAAATAGCCCTAAATTCCAGTGAGAGATCAGCTGTTCTTAGAAATAAGTCCTCGAGTGTGTGGTGCTGTGGAGGTACATCAGTCAGCATTTATTAAGTGCCTGCTGTGTGCAGGGCACTGCTTGGCACTCTACACACAAGTGCAAAAGTGAAACATTCCTTTCTTTCAAAGAGTTTACATCCTAATGGGGAGACCACAAATGTGTGGGTGTGCAAGCACATGCATGTGTGTGTCCACATAGATACATGGGCAACTGGGTGGTGCCCTAGTGGATGGAGCTCTGGGCCTGGAGTCAGGAAGACTCATCTTCCTGAGTCCAAATCTGACCTCGGACACTTAGTAGCTGTGTGATCCTGGGGAAGTCATTTAACTGTTTGCCTCAATTCTTAAATGAGCTGGAGAAAGAAACAACAAACCACTCCAGTATCTTTACCAAGGAAAACCCCAAATGGGGTCAGAGAGTCAGACAACGATAACAAACATGACATCAGTGGATACGAGTGTATACAGAATACTTAGGCGCAGGGCAGTTGAGAGAGGACCCTAGTGGTCAGGGGAATCAGCAGTGACTTTGTGCGGAAGACGGTGTTGAGCTGGATCTCTGAGGTACAGGGAAGGTGGAAGGTGTGGGGTCAGCCAGTCTGAAGGCCCAGTGACTAGAGATGGACAGTTCCATGGGTGAGG